GGGATGGAACGATCTCCTGGAGGAAGAAGACATGGCAACCTACTCCAGTATTCCTACCTGGAGAATCCCCATGGACAGAGATGTCTGGCAGGCTACAGTCCACAAGGAGTCGGATGCAACTAAAAACACACAGCACATTAGACCCCAAGGGTTTTAGTAGACCATGATTCTACAATAATTGCTAAGATTTATTGAACTATTAGGGCTTTGCAGGTAGCTCAGTTGGTAAAGAATCCACCTGCAATGTAGGAGACCCCAGTTCGATTCCTGGGTCAGGAAGATCCCCTGGAAAAGGGAAAGGCTACCCACTCCAGTATTCTTAGGTTTCTATGGTGGCTCAGATGGTAAACAAACCACATGCAATGCGGGAGACCTGAGCTGGCAAGATCCTCTGCAGGAGGGCATGGCAACCCACTCCAGTATTCTTGCCTGGAGAATCCCCATGGACAGAGAAGCCTGGTGGGCTACAGTTCGTAGAGTTGCAAAGAGTCTTACACAACTGACAGACTAAGCATAGCACTGAGCCACTGAGTATGTGTCAGACACTTTCTTACCACTTTATTTGCTGTAACTCATTTAATCCTCCCAAGCACCGTGAGTTACATATTGCAAATATTTGAATTGCACAAAGGAAAGTAAAGCAGATTAGGCAAGTTGCCTAAAGTCACAGAGCTAGAGAGTGACTAAGTTGGAATGAATACAACATTTAAAATATTACACACAAGGTGAAAAAAAACATAAAATACAGAACTGATTATGGTAGGGTGGCAAGAATCAGTGGCATTTCTCTCTATTCAATTAATATATTAGAGTGGTAAGGAATCAAACAAATACAGAATACTTCATGCACTTTCAAATATTCATTCATGCGCAATCCCTTAGTCAACTTGCATAAATTGCACAGTGTAAAATTCAAACTCAGCTTATGCTAGTATCTTTTTTATTGAAACATAACCTTAATCCTTTTAATCCCAAGAGATACATAATAATACAAATTCACTATATAAGTTAGAAAATGTGTGTAAGTAAAAAGAAAATAGTCTTCTATAAAATTACACACAGAAATAATCACTTAACAATTTGGCAGTTTCCTTCCAGATGTCAATATATCTGTTATTTAATTAAAATAAAATCACATTTTTAAATTTACTTTTTTTACTTAACATACACCAAGACATAATTTCATGTTTTTACATTCTTATGGCTCAGCAGTAAAGACTCTACCTTGCATTGCAGGAGAAGCAAGTTTGTCCCCTGGGTCAGGAAGATCCTCTGGAGAAGGAAATGGCAACTCACTCCAGTATTCTTGCCTGAGAAATCTCACGGATAGAGAAGGCTGGCGGGCTATAGTTCATTGGGTCGCAAATGAGTTGGACATAGCTTAGTGACTAAACAACAAAGCATTAAAAAAATGGCTAGGCAGTACCCCCACTGTAGGAAGGTATCGTAACAATCACCATGAAACATCTAAGTTGTTTACAATTTTACAGCATAGAGTCACCAGCTCTGGAGTCAAACTGCTTAAAGTCTGTGCTCTGCCAGTTACTGATTCTGCTAACTTCGGCAAGCTACCTAATAATTTCTCTATACCTCAATTTTCTCTTATGAAAAATGGGGACAGCATTACTTACTATATATGATTAATGTGGGGAAGGGATCAAATATGTTAATATGCAGCTTTTATTATCAACAATGCTGCAACTGGTTGTAAACAGCTACCAATTCATCGGTTTTATTACACCAAAATAAATACCAAAACAAATTCACTTAAAATTTCCACATTAGAAGGTATGCCCATTTTTCAGGCTTTGAATATGCCGAACTACAGCTGGGTTTAAAAATCCCTCATCAAACAGTTCTCTCATTTAATACTCATTTTTCCTTATCCAAGAAAATGAAAACTATGATCCAGTTAAGCTAACTTGTTTCAATTAGCTTTTGCTCTTCCACTTCTGTACCTGCAAACCTACACATATTTGTAAACTCTCAGTCCATAGGGAATTAAGGAAACCTGGCTGAAATCCTAATTCGGCTCATCATTTCCCCTTCTCTTGAATCCCTAACTTGAATGCCCATCAGTGGGAGGGGACCGCCTACCACCAGAAACAACCCATTATACTGTCCTTTTGAGGAATTTTTCTTCGAGGAATGTTAAAATCGGCCTCCTTCTAATTTCTACCCCTTGCTCCTAGTTCTTTCTGGTCAAGTCAAACCTTACTGTTCTGTGTGACAGAATAGATGAGCTTCTCTTTTGGGGGCCAATGATCACAGTTTTTCAACTTTTCCTCCTTTCCATTTCCTCCACAATCAAAATTCTCTGGCCATGCTCTATAGTGTTTTTAAACTTGGTTGTTTATAATCTAAGGAATATGAGAAAAACAGAGTGGGCCAGTTCCTATCCTACTTAAGGTTGGGTCTCCATAGGTCTTTTTAATGAGCGCTCCAGCTGATTCTGATAGAGTTTGAGAACTGATGCAAGATCCCACTTACAATATGATAGTATGCTATTTGAAATAATACCCCAGGTGTAACAACCAGTACAAAGTGGGGCTGACACCTAGCTCTTCAAAATGTCATTTACTTTTTAAAAAATTTTAAGTGTTCATTCATATTAAACGTACAATCAGTTAAATGATTCCACACTATTTATGCACTAGCATCTTGGGCCCTAACAGCCAACATTTATAATCATTCCCATTAAAAGGTTAAGAGAGCTAGGGCTACAAATTTCAATTTTAAATGGGCCATTTAATTTCTAAATGGACCAATGGTCCTGCAGGTGGATTTACTTTCAGTGAGGAAATCACTTCATGGTCAAGCCTCTAATACTATGGACATACTTAGCCCAAATAAAACTGCATTAGCCCGCCAACGTCTGAACGGGACAGTTGGTTGCACCAAAGTATCTTCTCTGTGCAGACCACTGTTGCCAACATTATGAAGTAACACACAGGCCCTAATACTAACACTAATAAACTGACTGAGAGAGCCTCATGGAACAAACCTCTTCAGAAAAAATTAAATATACTAATTATAGTTGTCCTGAGGTAGACACATCAGTGCTACAGAAACATGACTACTAGTGGGAAAGCTCAGGGACCAAAGAAATTACTCACTAGAAAACTAAGTTGCCCTGAACTTAAAGGTTTTGTTTCAGTTTGCTTTTTGGTATTTGCAGAGAGAAGAAATGGAGCTATCCACACTCAACCTGCTTGCAAAGGGGTACGGCACCCTCATAATTAATTCATGAGTCAAAACTTTCTCGCAGTGACTCCTGAACCCCTCATAACTTGTTTGTTTTACCTGCTATTTCTAACTTAAGGTACTCAAGGGCCAAAAAAAGTCCATTCTATAGACGATGAGCTCATCATAAATATATCTAGAGTTGAGGGTGGGGAGTACAGCTCAAAATCCAATCCGATATTTATTTTCATGTGAATAGCAAACATCAAAAATATACCTAGCATTTTCTAGCAATTACATGAAGACAGACCAGATGCTTCCTGTTGATGGAACAGGAGAGAACTACAGACTGGCAGAATCAGACTAAAGTTCACAAAACAACCAGAAGCTTCATTTCAGAACCATTAAACCAAAGCAGGTATGACTTTTAATAAGTGTTCACATATTTACAACTGTCCTCCAACCTAGAACACCCAGACTGATTCAGAAATAGATAACTCATGAACTCTTAAGTTACAGAGTTAACTCTACATCTGTATATGCATTACAATGTAAAAGCAGTTTCACCAAACGTTTCACTGCAGGACTCCTTTTTAATCTGGCACTGCGATAGTACTTTGAAGTGCTCAACTTCAGAGATTACATTTACACACAAGTTTTCACAAGCAAATTTAACATGGGATTCGTGTTTTACTTGTGTACATCATTAAAAATAAGTTGTGGAATTAAAAATTAAGTTTAATCACTTAAAATTTTTTCAAATATTCTGAGTCTCTAAAATTATATGCAGATTATGCAATCTTTATTCATGTTTATGTATCTAAATCCCAAATTGAAAAAGTTAGAGCTCAAGAAAAAAAGCACAGGAAACAAACCCTCTTATCCGTATTTTTTAAATGTGTCTTTTACAATAATATCCTGATTTGATTTGAATGGTAAGAGCAGGATAGAAATGACACATTTTTCAGCTTTTGAAAAAAGGCATGAGTATACAGTGGAGTTTACCAGCGGTTACATGATGTGATACCACAACAAACTGAACACAGAAGTAGGTTCACGAATCCACCTATCTTCTGTTCAACTAGGCATTCAAAAGACACAAAAATGCAAAAAAAAAAATGTCACTCTTGCCTAAAACATCACTGGCGTTAACATGCAACAGACTTTTATTTTGTTATCTTGGGGGAAAATAAATACTCCAAAAGAGAAAAAGTTAAGAAAAAAGACAAAGCCATCTTTCGTTTCCTTAAATTCAAAATCTGAGCCTGAAAGTGGAAGTGGCAAGGTCGATGGTTACAGTCACTGAGAAGAAACTTAAAGCAAGCTGGGTGGGTCTCTGTGTGAAAAAAGACTTATCTGCAAAAAGAACTCCTGGCCACTAACTTCTGCATAATAAACTACGGTGCTTTAACTCTGGGATGGCAAGTTACTGCACTCATTACACCAAACCATTTTCCAGATAAAAAATTGTAGTTTACAAAAGTAACTTGCCTGAATCGAGACAGCAAATCAGTGTCCAGAGACAACACTTAAGGTATTTCCACATTACCAAGCCCCCTTCACAAGTTTCTGCCCCTCCTTTGAACAGATGTCTCCTCGCCACAGTCCAATCGGTTTAAAGCAAGAGTATGTGTACTGAAAACAGGCTTCAAGTGGTAAAACACAACACAAAGCAGGCCTGTATCATTCCTTTGGTTTCAGTTTTCACGATGCACCCTCGAGGCTAGGCACACAGGTTCAACATGGTAGGAGAGTTTCAACGAAACACACTAAAAACACACTGATCGTGCCGAGACAGAAATGACCTGGCAAAATTCTCAACTTCGTCCCGGAGGCCGTGCACCCGCAGATGCCGGCGGGCAAATCCCAAGAGCAGAAGTCCCCAGCATCCAGAGCAGCTGGCTTCCTCCCCTCAGGAACTCGAGTCCCCGAGGCCGAGGCAGTCGCCGCGGCGGACCCGCACGGGACCAGTTGGGCGCTCCCGTTAACCCTGTCCGGGCCGGCCGAGCCGGCTGCTCCCGCCGCGGCCCGAGCGCCTCCAGGCCTCGCGGCCCGAACAGAACAGCGCGCCGGAGGCCGGCCGTCCCCACCGACCCTTCCCCGCTCCGGCTGGGCGGCCCAAACAAAGAGAGCGGCGGCTCCCGGGGCGGCAGCGCCAAGGCCGTAAAGCGCCAGCCTGCCTCGCCCGCCCACCGCCTGCCACTCGGCGGCCGCAGTTCCCGCAGCCCGGGCCTGACCCTATCCCGCTCCGGGGCCGCCGCTCGGGACCGGCCCGGCGGAGAGCCGCAGGGAGGCCGTGGTGCGCCGGGGCCGACGAGGGGGCGGCGGCCGCCACCATGTCTGCCCGCCCCTCCCAGAAGCGGGGTGCCAGCGGACAAAGCGCGGCGGCGGCGCGGGCGGAGCGGGGACCCAGGCCCACCCCGCCGACCCCCGCGGAATAAGCGGGGCCAGGAGCCCCGGAAACCCGGCGCCTTAATGCAATAAACAGGAAATCGCGGGGATGATCTGGGTTCCGGGGGAAGTGGAATTATTTTTTACCAGCGAAGAGATCAACTTCCACATCCGGTGGTAACAGGGCCCTACACAGACCCGCACTGACCTGGAAAAGCTTCGGGAGCGGCGACGGGGGAGCAGCAGGAGGTGGTTCGGGGACCCGAGGCGCCTCGTACCCTGCCGGGCTGACGCGGCCCCGCTAAACACAAAGCGCTTCAGCTGCACAGGGCGCTATTTTCCGAAAATGCCGCGTCTGGTCGGCGCCCAAAATCCCCACCGAAAAGTCCCCCGTGCTGCGCGCGGAGGGACACATGGTGTGCGAGTGAGTCAAAGCTCCCAGCATCCCTCCCAGACCCGGCCCTCGTCAACTCTTCGCCTGAGGCTTTCCATCCCTGCCCTACTTAGCAGATCCCTCTCCCACCCACTCTCCGATCCCTTTCCGGCGGGAGAAATGGGGCGAAAGCGTCTGATTTTTTTTTTTTAACGAAGAGGAGGGAAATAAGCCATTTCTACAGCTTCAGCTACACAAAGAAACCGGCGGAATGATCCCTCTCGGAGACCGCAAGTCCCGGCTCGCCCGGCGCCTGCGCGGCACGGGGGTGGGAGCTGCGGCCGGCCATGTGCGCGGCGGAGCAGCGGGCCGGCCACGCAGGCTGCCTGCTAGTTTCTGCGGGGCTAGGAGTGGGAGGCTGAAGTGCGTGTGCTAACCTTATCTCTCCGGCATGAGCGCTGAGATGAAAACATACATGTTCCTGTAGCTCCCTCCCTCCTTTTTAAACATTGTGGTGGTTCCTTATATTTTGTAGACCCTAATAACTGCTCACTGAATTCCCTTGAATTACTGTCAACTCAGAGGTAGAAGTCTTGTTTTTCCGGGGTTGGGATGTTAAGGTTTTTGTTGCATTTTATTAAGAAAGTAGCAAAAGTTTATTTGAGGGAGCTTGCCTGGCCGCCCAGTGGTTAGCACTTTGCACGCTTCGGCTGTAGGGCGGAGGTTCGATCCCTGGTCAGGTAAATAAGATCCTGCATGCTCCGGCCACCGCCCCCCCCCCCCCAAAAAAAGTTTATTTGAGAATGGTGATTTGCAAAGTAAGAGTCTTATGAGTTTAATTTACTTACGATGGTTCGCTAAGAAACCCATAACATAGATAATCTTCTTTAACAGATGAGCCAGGGAGTGACTTCTCAATCTTCTAACCTTAACAATTTTTGGCATCTTACATTTATGAACTGAGAATATGTGAGAGAGCACCAAGATTTTAATTTAAAAGAGTTTACAAATGAAATACATATTGCCCACTGATTTAGGGTGGCCTCAGGTAAGCAATCTTTCTCCACTTACCTATTTGTATTATTGATGTAGAGATTTGTCTTTATGTAACTTAACAAAAATGTTGTGCCTAAAATAAAATGAGTGACATGGGAGACGTATTCTGTTTTTCTTTCTGTTTAATATTTTCAGTGCCGCTTTGGATCCTCACATGCTTTTCTTTAACATTGATTTATCTGAGTAAACGTTCAGTTAATGGTTGCAATAGAATCTTTGCACTCGCTGATCTTATGCTACAGAATGTGAACAAGTAGACATCATCAGGAGTATAATGAGGGTAAACTGCTGAATGCTGTGAAATTTCATACAGGAGGAATCCCTTATTTACCTGTGAAGGAGGCATGGCATGTTGCAGGAAAAGCAGTTAGCTTTAGTAAGGGATTTGGGGAGACTTTCCAGGCAGAAGTAATGATTGCAAAGGTTAGGACACAAACACTAGAAATGGTTGAGTGTGCGGAAGATAGTGCTTTTTCAGAAATGCCTAGAGATGTGTCTGAAGAGGTCTAGTCATAAAAACCTTGAATTCCATGTGCAGAAGAGCTGAGAGCTTTTGAGAGCTAAGAGGAAGATATTGAAAGATTTTAAGTAGAAGCATAATAAGATCAGATTTATATTTTAAATCACTATTAGGTAAGTCAGAGGCATAGAGAACAGTCTGTGAGAGATTAATGACTTGGACTGAGTTGGTGGCAAACAGGAGTGAAGAGTATGACCAAAGATGTTGCTGAGAGCTTGGTGATTTGGTTGACTGGATAGGGAATGACAGAGGGCCATGTCAAAGATGACTCCTAAGTGTCTTGGGGGAGCAGTCTGAAGGATATCTTTATGGAGATTAGAAACAAGGGAAGAGGAATACATATTAGGGGAGGAAGATGGTTTTGTTTTGACCATGTAGAATTTGAAGTGCTATGAGTCAACCAAGCAAGTATATCTAGTTGGTAGTTAGGTAATCTTTCATTTAAGTTGTTTTGAGAAAAACTGTAACTGGCACGGTTCTGCTCATTTGAACAGATTAAGCAGGGAAAAGACCAACAGATTTCCTGCTCCTGTTTCTGTGGACAGAACAGACTATAAAGTTTTATTAAAAAAGAGGAAAGATAATATCACAATATCTTTCATGAAGAAAATGAAAGGGTATTTGGATGAAGCATTTCTCTGGGAGAGAGAGCAGGCAGAATTTTGGAGATTGTTCAGAAATGGCCTCTCTCAGAGTTCCCTGATGGCCTAGTAACTAGGCTTTACTGAGTGGGCCCAGGTTCAGTCCCTGGTTGGGGAACTGAGATCTTGCAGGCTGCATGGCCTCTGAGAAAATATTCTTTTGAGCTAAGACTGGAATGGTAATAAGTTGAGGCCCGTATTTGAGACCAAAGGAATAGTAAGGCAAAAATCCTAAGATGAGAGAGCAAGAAAGGCAGTGTGGCTCAAGTGTAGAGGGCAAAGAAAGGAATAGTAGAAGATGAAGTTTACATCCTTAGTAAGTTTCAGAGCTTTAAAGCCATTGAGGGATTTCAAGGAATAGTGGTGGTTTAGTCACTCAGTCATGTCCAACTCTTGTGATCGCATGGAGTGTAGCCCACCAGGCTCCTCTGTCCATGGGATTTCCCAGGCAAGAATACTGGAGTGGGTTGCCATTTCCTTCTCCAGGGGATCTTCCCAACCCAGGGATCAAACCTGCATCTCCTGCATTGGCAGGCAGATTCTTATCACTGAGCCACAGTGGAGTAACATAAATAGCAGTAGAGGTAAAGTGAATGTATTGAAGAGAGATTTTGTGATTAGACCTAACCTATATTGCTAATGAGTCAAACAGGGAAAGAGAAAAATCAAGAGGGATTCATAGGTTTGGGACTTGATTATCGAGTCTAGCACTGCCCAGTATAAACATAACACAAGGCAAATATGTAATTTTATAGTAGCCACATTGAAAAGGTTAAAAAAATGATTAAAAATACTTTTATTAGACTCAATATATCCAAAATAGTACTATTTCCTATGTGATCAGTATTTAAAAGTATTAAATATTGTTAAATGTTTTGCATTCTTTCTGTTATCACTAAGTAAGTGTTCAAAATCTGATATGTTTTTTACACTTATAGTATATTTCAGTAATTGATTTCATAAAATTTACAGTTGAAAAGATTCACATACTCAAATCATTCCAAACATTTCAAAAATTGTGCAGTGATTGAATTATGTATGTTATTTTCATTTTAAAGATTAAAATCTTACTTCCTAAATTAGCCACATTTCAGCTGTTCCGTAGCCACTTGTGGCTAGTCGCTACTACATTGGACAGTATAGGTCTACTGGAATAAAGAATAGTAAAAAATGAGACCAAAAAACTGTGGAACCAGCCTGGAAGGCCTTTGGTGTCATCTTAAAGGATTGGGATCTTGCCCTAGAGAGAAAGGGAATAGTGGATAGTTTTTAAGCTAGGGAGTAACACAGTATTTTGCTTAAAGCTAGAAAAAGGCCACTAGGTGACCAACTGATGACTCGGGGATCAGAGCAACCCTTCAGTTGAGTCCCCACATTCCAAGACCTGACCTCAGTCTTTTAGAAGTCTGATTTTTGTCAGTGCACTGGAGCAATGCTAAAAATGTGGGCCACAGGCTAGTGCCAATAGACAAACCCTTTGTTATTGATCCAAGACAAGGCATTTATAGAAATCAAGAGTGAGAATTTAGAAACTTAGAGCAATTAGTGTTACACTAATTTTACATCTGTGGTTGTAATAAAAATTGAGGGTTTGTATTGTTGCATATGCCATTGTTTTCCTTTTTCCCTTTTCTAGTCATTTATTTTTGTATTTTTTAAAAGTGTCTATAAAAAAATAAAAAATAAAAGTGTCTATGATCTTTCATAACAGACAAATTTTGAAGCACTGATCTAGAGACACTCAGCTGAAGCAGTCAGAATGACCAAGTAAGTTCCCAGGCAACTTATCTAAAGTGACTTATCTCAGTGACTTTTTCTTTTTCTTTTTTTTTTTTTACATTATAGTGAGAACTATAATGGCTAAGAGGGCTCCCCAGGTAGCTCAGTGGGTAAAGAATCTGCCTGCAATGCAGGAGATGCAGGCAGATGCCAGTTTGATCCCTGGGTTGAGAAGATCCCTGGAAAAGGGCATGGCATCCCACTCCAAGATTCTTGCCTGGAGAATCTCAAGGACAGAGGAGCCTGGCAGGCTATAGTCCATAGGGTTGAAAAGAGTCGAACATGACTGAAGCAGCTGAACATGCATGCAAGCATAATGGCTAAGAGGGAAATAGATGTATGCTCAGCTGTTCCTGCCCTATCAAAATTGAAGACTACGTGGAAATAACTAAATTTACAATGGCTACCATTTATTAATGATTCCTATTTGCCAGCCATTGTGAAAAGCCTGTTAACATATTAATGTCTCACTTAACCTTCATAATAACTCTTAAAATAGCTATTACTAACCCCATTTTTCCAAAGAGGAAACTGAGTCTAAAATAGGTAAATAACCTGCCTAAAGTCACCAAGTTGGTAAATGTTAGAGACAGGGTTCTAATACAGGTCTCTTTCCAAAGCTATTGTCTTTAATCACTTTTTTTGCCATTATAATCCAAGTATCTAGCAGATTCCCTGGCACAGATTGTTTGAGAGAGAATATGTGAAGTTGACTGCATTACCTTCCAGAGAATCATTAGTGAAATTGGGGCCAAAGTAAGGGGAGTTGCTGCTGCTGCTGCTGCTAAGTCGCTTCAGTCATGTTCGACTCTGTGCGACCCCATAGACGGCAGCCCACCAGACTCCCCCGTCCCTGGGATTCTCCAGGCAGGAACACTGGAGTGGGTTGCCATTTCCTTCTCCAATTCGTGAAAGTGAAGTTGCTCAGTCGTGTCCGACTCTGTGTGACCCCATGAACTGCAGCCTACCAGGCTCCTTCATCCATGGGATTTTCCAGGCAAGAAGACTGGAGTGGGTTGCCATTGCCTTCTCCAGTAAGGGGAGTTAGTGGTATTCTAATAGTATCAGACAAATGCATTCATTTTTATGATACAAATATGTGTTTTGCTCCTATTCAGAATGTACTGACTCCCACAAATCAATAAAAAATAAAAAGACAACACAGTAGAAACTGGTAAGAGATTTAAACAGTCGCTTCACAAAAGAGGGCATCTAAATGGCCAGTAAACATATAAGGGTGCTCAACTTCCATCACCAGCGAAATGCAAATTAAAATCATGAGGTACTGTTGCACACCCACAATAATGGTTAAAATGAAAAACACAGGCAATGTCAGTATGGGAACAAATGAAA